CCCCGGGGCCTACCCCTATTGCTGGCCCTGCGTGCAGCAGCACTTCCGTAGGCTGCAGTTTGGGGCCCCCCGGGGGCCCCCGGGGCCCCTGGAGCCCCGGGGGGCCCCCCTGGGGGCCCCCCGGGGGCCCCCGGGGGCCCCCCCGGGGCCCCCATGGGGGCCCCCGGGGCCCCCCCTGCGCCCAGCGGAGCGGGGGCCCCCGGGGCCCCCAGCGGGGAGGCAGCGGGGGGCCCCACGAGGTGGGAAAAGGCCTCGTCGAACTCATCTAAAGGATTGTTATTTGCCTTTTCTGTTTCTTCATCAACTTCGTCAGGACATCCTATTACCCCCTCCAGACTGCGGGGGGCCCCCCGGGGGCCCCGGGCCCCCCGGGAGAGGCCGCGGCAAGAGCGCAGGGCCTGGCGGGCCCGCAGCAGCTCGGGAGCCTGACCCTGCAGCAGCAGCAGCAGCAGCAGCAGCAGTTGGAAGAAACTTTCTGCGAAGCCAGCACAGGCAGCGGCAGCGGCAGGAGCAGCGGCGGAAGCAGCAGTGCGTGGAACGAAACTTCCGCGACACCGACACAACTAGCAGCAGCAGCAGCAGCAGTAGCAGCAGCAGCAGTAGCAGCAGCAGCAGTAGCAGCAGCAGCAGATACTGACGGTGGCTGCTGCCCAGGACTGTTCTGTTGCTGCAATGATTTCTCTGCATCTTTCTTCTACATGTTTAAGACTCCGAGAAGCAATTCGGAAGAAGTGGCGGCTGTCCAAACAGAAGAACTTCAGCTGCAGCAGCAGCAGCAGCAGCAGCAGCACAAGCAGCAACAGTTCATGGTTACTGCTTTTGTATGCAACAAGGGCTTTTTATGTATTTGAAGAATAAATAAATAAATAAATAAATAAAAATGGGAAGATTCGGAAATAGAAAAAAATAAACACAAAAGAAATTGAAGGGAAGTAGAAATAAAAAGAAAATGAAAATTAAGAAGAGATAAAAAGGGAAAATGAAAAGTCACAAAAATATGGAAAAACATAAAAAGATAAAAAGGAGAAATAAAAACAAAAAGAGATAAAATAGAAAAACAGAAATAAATAAACAAATAAAAAATAAACAGAGATAAAAGAATAAATGAAAACAAAAGAGACACAAAAAGGAAAAATAAAAAGAATTTAAAAAATAAAACAATAAAAAATAAAAGGATAAAAAGAGGCATTCAACCAAAGTTCTAATTACAGGTTATTAAAAAACTAATAACTGCAAATAACAAATAAAACAAATTAAGTATTAAAATAACTAACTAATTAGTTAAATTAATTAAATTAATTGATTTTAATAAATTAATAAATTAATTTAATTAATTAATTAATTAAATTAATTAATTAATTAATTAAATTAATTACTTAATTATTTAATTACAAACAACTTATTGCCGAACTGCAATAAAACCCTCACCGAAAAGCCCCTCAAACAAAGACCCACGCATGCGACGAAATCAAAACAAAAAGGAAACAAATTAACAAATTAATTAATTAATTATTTATTTAATTATTTATTTATTATTTAATTAAATAATTAAATAAATAGTGGAGTTTACTGCTGCATGCACGAGGGGGAAGGCGCTGACGCCCTGTTCATAAAGACCCCACAAAAGCAGTTTGTCTTCTTCTTCTGTAAAGACACCCGAAGGCCCCAGGCCCGGCGGCAGCCGCAGACACTGCGGCGAAGACACTGTCCCCGACAGCAGCTGCTCCTCCACCTGCAGCAGCAGCAGCAGCAGCAGCAGCAGCGGCAGCAGCAGCGGCAGCAGTGCGTTAGCGGCAGCAGAAGCAGTGCGTTGGCAGCAGCAGAAGCAGTGCACTGGCAGCAGCAGAAGCACTGCGTTAGCAGCAGCGGCAGCGGTGCGTTAGCAGCAGCAACTGTGCGTTAGCAGCAGTAGCTGTGCGTTAGCAGCAGCAGCTGTGCGGTGCTTTAGCCGCAGGAAAAGCAGCAGGAGCAGCAGTGCGTTTGCAGCAGAAGCAGCAGCAGCAGCAATGCGTTAGCAGCAGCAGAAGCAGCAGCAGCAGCAGTGCGTTAACAGCAGGAGAAGCATTAGCAGCAGCAGCAGCAGTGCGTCTGCAACAGGAGTAGCCGCATTAGCAGCAGCAGCAGTGCACTGACAGCAACAGCATTTAAAGAAGCAGCAGCAGCATTAACACAAGCGGCAGTAGTACCAACAGCAGCAGTACTAACAGAAGCAGCAGCATTAAAAAAAGCAGCAGAAGTGCCAGCAGCATTCATTAGCAGCAGCAGTAGCAGCAATAACAGCAGCAGTAGTAGCATTGAGAGAAGCAGCAGCAGCATTAACAGCAGCAGCATTAACAGCAGCAGTATGAACAGCAGCAGCAGTATTAACAGCAGCAGCAGTATTAACAGCAACAGCGGCGTTAACGGTAGCAGCGCTACTAGCATAAGTAGCAGCGGCACCAGCAGCAGCAGCAACAGCAGCACCATTAAAAGCAGCAGCAGCAGCAGCAAGGGCAGCAACAGCAGCAGTATCAACAGCACCAGCAGTAGCAATATGCATTCTCAGGTACTAAACACAAAGAATTACTAAATAATCCACAGTCAGCAGCACCAAACCCTAAACCCTAAACCCTAAACCCTAAATTAGTGTAAAGCCCACAGTAGCCTGAATGGCCCGCCGCTGCAGGTCTAAAGCCCCCCGCAGCTCTTCCGCCCTTTCTATGCGCTGCATCATTCGGTCTCCCTGAAAACAAAAACAAATAAATAAATAAATTAATTAATTAATTAATAATAAATAAATAAATAAATAACTAAATAATAGAAGAACTAATTTGTTGTCAACGAGAAGTGCCCTCGTAAGAAGCAAAAAAAACTAATCTGACGCCGCAGACAGTGCTGCTGCTGCTGCTGTTGCTGCTGCTGCGACTGGTTCTGCTGCTACGTCTGCCGTTGCTGCTGCTGCCGCTGCTTTTGCCGCTGCTACTGCTACAGCTGTTGTTCCAGCTGCTTCTACGACCACTGCTGCTGCTACTGCTGCTGCTACTGCTGCTGCTTGTGCTGCTGCTGCTGCTGCTGCTGCTGCTACTGTTGCTGCTGCTGCTGCTACTGTTGCTGCTGCTGCTGCTACTGTTGCTGTTGCAGGTGCTTCTACAAGCACTGCTGCTTCTGCTGCTGCCACTGCTGCCGCTGCTTCTGCTGCTGCTGCTGACCCCCTCGATTTCCGAGTATCTTTGGAAAAAGACAGCAGCATATTTCCGGAGGTCTTCAACAGTTTTGTTGCTGTTGCTGAAATGCATTTGCCAGGCCTCTTCCAGCCGGTCACGCCCAAACTGGATCAGGCCGCTGCAGCAGCAGCAGCAACAGCAGCAACAACAGATGCTGTGCAGCAGCACCAGCAGCCGAAACGCCGGCAGCAGCAGAAGGATCGTCCCAAACAGGAGCAGCACGCGGCAGAAAGAAGCAGCAGCAGAACCAGCAGCAGCAGCAGCAGCAGCAGCGCACCTGACGAATTTCGTAAATTCCGTTCTGTTCCAGTTTAAGAAGCCTTCAGACAGCAGCTGTTCCTGCACGCGCAGCAGCAAGAAAAGCAGCAGCAGCAGCATGAAAACAAGCGCAGCAGCAGCAACAAAAGAGCAGCAGCAACGGCACGACGGCAGCAATACTAGAAGCAGCACGGAGTGCAGCAACAGAAGCTGCGCGAGCAGCAAAAAAGCAGCTGCAGCACGACCAGCAGCAAAACCGCAGCTGCAGCAGCCTCAGCAACCCCAGCAGCAGCAGCAGCAGCAACCCCAGCAGCAGCAGCAGCAGCAGCAGCAGCAACCTTTTGGAGTTTCATTTCTGCCGTGAAGGGCTCGGGCCTGTCGGGATCGTCGGGATCGTCTAAAGCACTTTCTGTGTCTGAGGGTTCTTCTTCTGGCTGCGGAGGTCTAATCTTTCTGGGCCTTCCAGCTCTCTTTTTGGGCTGCTGCTGCTGCTCCTGCTGCTGCTGCTGCTGCTGCTGCTGCTGCTCGGGGTCCAGCTGCTGCGCGTCCGCCTGCTGCTGCGAATCCCCAGCCTCCGACTGCTCCTGCTGCTGCTGCTGCTGCTGCTGCTCCTGCTGCTGCTGCTGCCGCTTCTGCCGCAAACGCCACTCCAGCAGATGGACAGCCAGGGGCACCCCTTCTGCTGCTGCCACCCGGCCCTGCACACGCAACGCGCACCTGGTGCTGCTGCTGCAGTTGCTGCTGCTGCTGTTGCTGCTGCTGCTAAGGGTGCATTCAGGTGTCTAGACACTGCAATGTTTGCGCACCTCTAAGTCCTCCAGTAGCTCCTTCAGCAGATCTTTCAGAGGCCGGCCTCCGACAGCCCAGCGACATATCCTGTTGCTGTTGCTGCTGCTGCTACTGCTGCTGCTGCTGCTGCCGCTAGTGCTCGTGCTGGTGCTTTCGTTGGCTGCTGCGGCAGCGCCTTCTTCCTGTTTGGGTTGCTCCTGCTGTGTCTGCTGCTGCTCCTGTTGCTGCTCTTGCTGTTCCTGCTGCTCTTCTTTGAGCTGCGGCTCCTGCTGCTGCTGCTCTTGCTTCGGCTGTGCCTGCTGCAGCGGCCGCTGCTCCAGCAGCAGCTTCTCCTCCTCCTCCAAGAGTTGCGGCAGCAGCATTTGCTGCAGCCGCTGCAGCACGTCACCTTCCTCAGGGGCTATCTCTCTGCAGCCCCGGAAGTTCAAATATCTGAAGCAGCGAAACACAGAAGTACAGGATCACAGCTGCAGCAGCAGCAGCAAAAGCAGCAGCAGCAAGCCCAGGAACAGCAGCACCAGCCCCAGCAGCAGGAACTGGAGAGCAGCAGCAGGATGTGCAGGGGCAGCAAGAGCAGCAGCACGGAGCGCAGGGACAGCACGAGCAGCAGCAGGAAGTGCAGGAGCAGCAAGAGCAGCAGCAACCGAGCAGCAGCAGCACCAACTCAGCAGCAGCAGCAGCAGCCGGAACTGCGGGTGTGGGGCGCACGCTTCTAGGACGGCGAGGAGTGCGTGTTGCTGCTGGGGCTCCATTTGGTGGAGGAGGGCCTGTACGCTGGCTGCTGCGGGTTGCTGCTGCTGCTGCTGCTGCTGGTGGGGCAGCAGCAGGAGCGCAGCAGCAGCAGCGTCTTCGCCGGCGTCGAGCAGCAGCTGGTCGAGGAGCGCAGCAAAGTCGAGCTGGGGGCGTTTGGGGCCCGGGGCGTCTGCGTCTGCTGCAGCAGCAAGTTCTGCGTCCTGCAGCAGCTGGCGGCGCTGCTGCAGCAGCTTTTGCTGCTGCTTCTGCCGCCGCTTCCGCAGCAAATAAGCAGCCCATTTGCTTTGCGTTGCTTCCAAAGCATCCAGCTTCTCATGATCGAAAAACTGGAAGTC